TCACCGCCGACAGCCTGACCCTGAGGTGACAGCGGGGACAACGGGGACACTGTTGGACACTATGTGACTCTGTGTGAAAGCGTGTGACAGTGTGTGACTGTGAGTGACACACTGTGACAGTGAACAACACTGTGTGACACTCTGTGACATTGTGTGGCAATTTGTGGCAGTATGCGAACATCTGATACCATGTGCACTGAGTGACATTGTGTGACAGTGTGACTGTGACACTGTGTGGCACCATCTGATACTGTGTGACATTGTGTGACACTGTGTGACAGCGAGTGACACCGAGCGATTGTGGGTGACTCTGTGGGACACCATCTGACACTGTGTGACACTGTTTTAACACCGTGTGACATTTTGGGGCATTGTGTGACACCATCTGACACTGTGTGACACCACAGGATCAAGGCCAAGAAGGGCCTGCAGGTGGTCTCCGCCCACCCCACAATTCCCAGCACCTGGAGCGTGCACCTGGAGCGTTCCCGTGGTCCCAAGCACTCCACGGCTGTGGTGACGTGCCGGCGGCTCGGGGACATCCCTGTCACTCCTGACAGCTCCAGGTAGGGAGTATCCCAATCCCCCATCCTGGTGGGAATTGTGGCTTGTTCCACCCTGATCCCGATGCGGTGCTGCAGGGTGTCCGAGCCGGCCGAGTTCCTGCACCTGGATGTGGCTGTGGAAAACGGGACGGGGGGGCTGGCGCCAGCGCGGCCCCTCACGTGGCAGGTGGAGTATCCCGGCCAGGATCCCGAGGCACAGAAGGACAAACTGGTCTGGGAAATCCAGGTGTCGGAGCGGGACATCCGTGCCCTAGTCCCGCTGGTGCAGGTGGGTGTCCCCATCCCATTCCAGCCCTCCATCCTGCGGGAAGCGCCCCCTCATCCCACTATGCTTCCAGGAGCTGGAGATCCTGAACACGGCGCCGCTGACCGGGGTGCCCCGCGTTATCCCGGTCAAACTGGTGGCTGTGGAAGCAGGGGGTGCTGTGTCCGAGCTCACGGATCCCATAGGATGCGAATCCGCTGACAAGCAGGTGCTGCAGGTGAGTCCTGCTATCCCCTTGTTATCCCGCCTCACCTTGGGACATTCCCATGGAATTATCCCACCTCACCCTGGGACATTCCCATGGAATTCCACGTGCCCTTGCAGGTGTCGGATTCCTGCGACCTGGTGTTCGTGGGGGGCAAGGAGAGCCGAGGGGCGCGGGGCGCCCGCGTGGATTTCTGGGTGCGCCGGCTGCGGGCGGAGCTGAGCTTCTCCGTCTGGGCTCCGCTGCTCCCGCTCCGTGTCCAGCTGGGAGATCCCATCCTGGAGCAGCTCCGTGGCTGGAAAGTGCCCGGGGGGCCTGACAGGTGAGGCCTATGGAACGGGATGCTGGGGAAAGGGGGAGACGGGAATGGGGCTGGGACCTGACGTGTGGGGATGCATCAGTGAGCCCCCAACACACTCTTGTGTCCAGGGATTCTCGTCACCCTGTTGTGGAATCTCTGTCACCCTGTCCTGCAATCCCTATTCCCCTGTCCTTGGGGAACCCCTTGTCACCCCATCCCAGGACTCTCGTCACCCTGTCCCTGTCCCCTGTCCCCAGTGCCACGGTGGAGTCTGAGGACGCTGCAGAGGAGCCGGAGCGGCGGGCGCGNTGGGGAGCAGGGGGGGTCTCGGGGGTGGCAGTGATGGCAGTGTCCCGTCCCGGAACACCCCGCTCCCTCCTTTGGGAAGGGGTGCCCCCCCTTCCCAGCCAGGCCCGGTGCCCTTGGCTGTGTCCCGCTGACTCTGGTCGATCCCAAAAATAGCCAGGACACCCAGGCCTGTGCCGAGGGGGGGCATGGAACTGGGCTGTGGGGCCTCAAGCCTCCCCTTCTGCTTGGGGCACCCCAAAACCAGCAGGTGGACCCCAAAACCAGCAGGGTTTCCTCTTCCCAGCACCCTCACGTGTCTCTTTCCCCACAGATCCCGGGTTCCAGGATGGGGAGTGCCGTGGGGCACCGGGCCCTGCTGGCCCTGCTGCTGTGGATCCCATTCCTCATGGGATCGGCGGGGGACGGAGCCAAGGGTGGCCCGGAGGGATTCAGGGGACACACCACCACCTCTGATGACTTCCTGCTCCGGCTGGGAAGATCCACTTGGGACACCCTGGAAAGCTGGGTGGGACACCAGCCCCTGCGGGTGGTGGCAGAGGTGGGATCCCCATTCCCAAACCTTCCCTGGAGCTCCTTGTGCAGGGGCACGGGACATTTTCCCACTCCCTTATCCCCATCCTTCCCTGCAGAGCCTCTCCACCACCCTGTGGATCGTTTCCTCTGGGATCTCAGCAGCCCTGAGCACGCTCTGTGGGATCCTGGGGGATCTCCTGGCCGCCTCCAGCATCAACGGTGAGTGGGGCTCACCCCGTGGGACAGCTCCTGCCCCCATTCCTGGCGCCACCGCTGACCCCCAGATCCCATTCCCAGGCCACCGGCTGGTCCGAACGGCAGCTCTGGCTCCCGGAGAAGTGCAGAGGGTGCTCCTGTGGGCCGTGGCCGCCCTGCTGGGATCCTGGGTGCTGACCCGGCTCCGAGGGCTGCTGCTCCCGCTGCTCCGTGGCCTGAAGCTTTTCTTCTTCCTGGGAGCCTTCCTGCACGTGGCCGCTTCCCAGGAGAGCCCCACGGTGCAGGCGGGAATGCTGCTGGGCCTGTGGCTGCTCTACACCTTCCTGGGCAGCCTGGTGGCATCCCCGGATCCCAGTGCCCGGCTGGATGCGGCCGTCAAGAGCCTGGAGTGGAAGGTGGAGGAGCTGCGGCGGCGCCAGAAGTTTGGGGGGCCCCGGAACCGGGAGGATTGAGCCCCCCTGAAGCTTTCCCAAAGCTTGGCTCCACCATCCCAAGCATCCCAAGCATGTGTCCCCCCGCTCTGCTGAGCCCCCTGCACCCTCTGCTCTGCTTCCCAGTTCTCCCAGGGGTCCTGGGGGCCCCCCATCCCTCTGGGAGCACCCCAGAATCGGGGGCCGTGCCTTGCCACACGTGCCACAAGTGCCTTCACCCCAAAAGCCCCCACACGCCCCAAGAGTGGGAGAAGAGCTCCCACATTCCCTGCTCGCCAGGGATGTTGGCCCAGCCCAGCCGGCTTGGGGTGCGGAGGGGATCCCATTCCCCGTCCCGGGGGCTCTGCTTGTTTTGGGGTCCCCTCACTGTCAGGTTTTGGGTTTTAAGCTGCTTTTTAAACGGTTTTGATAATGTGGTTTGGAATAAAGACGGATTTATCCGGCCTGGCCCTGCTGCTTTCCCAGGGGAAGGTGGTCAGGCTCAAGCCGCCCCCCAGTCCATTCAGAGTGGAAGGCGAGGAGGAGGAAGAGGAGGAAGGTGGATCCCACCGCCCTCCAGCTGTTCCTGCTGTGCTTCCCACTCACTCCATGCCCCTCATCATGGATGTCCTTGTCCTTCCCATGTCCCCAGTGTCCCTTGTGAAACAGGGAAAGATGGATGGCAGCTGGGGAAAGAATTTCCACCCTCCTGCTCTGCTCCAGGGGTCTCCGTGTGGCCTGGGGTGTCCGGTGCTGGGTGCGGCTGGGAATGGGATCAGGAGCGAGGATTGGGATGGGGATGAGGAAGAGGATGAAGAGTAGAGATGGGGATGGGGAATGGGATGAGGGTCGGAATGGGGAGCAGGGATGGGAATGGGGAATGGGGTGAGGATGAGAATGGGGAGCAGGGCGGGGAATGGGGAGCAGGGCTGGGAATGGGGAGTGGGCTGGGAATGGGGAGTGGGATGGGAATGGGGAGCGGGCTGGGATGTGCGTCGGGCTGTGGAGCAGGAGCCGGAGCACCGGGCACGGCCGGGCTTTAGGACCCGGCGGGACGAGGCGGCGCCGGTGCCGGTCCCGCCCCGGCCCCATTGTCTCGGCGCGGGGGCGGAGGGACGGGAGGCACCGGCGGAGCGGCAGGAGGCACCGGCGGCACCGGCACCGGCGGCACCGGCGCACGGGGCGAGCCCCCGCCGGCCATGGCCTCGGCGCCCCGGCTGGCGCTGCTGGCCGCCGCCCTGCTCTGCGCCCCGGGTAAGTGGGAACGGCACCGGGAAAGGCATCGGGAACGGCAGCTGGCACCAGGAACAGCACCGGGCACCGATTCCGACCCCGCTCCGCGCCCCTCCCGCCGTCCTGCCGGGATCCGCTCCCGCGTGGACCCGCAAGCCGGGTCGGTTCTCCCCTTTCCCCACGTTCGGGTCCCTCCGTTCCGCCGGGATCCAGAGAGCCGGAGCGACCTCACCCCCTCCTCCTTCTTCCCCGCGTTCCCCGGGATCCGCGCCCCCCATCCGCGGGATCCGTGCCCCCTCCACCGCCTGGGATCCCGCGGGGATCACCCGGGGAACGTTGGATCCACGGGGATCTCGAGGGGGGAATCTCCTCCCGGTCCCCACGGGAACCCGCCGCCCGAGGGGCTCCCCTTCCCCCCGGATCCCGGGATCTGCCTGGCCTCTCTCCCGCACGCCTGATCCCCTCGGTGGCATCAATTCCCGGCCGTGAGGAAGCCCTGCCCGGGCATCCAGGTGGGATCTGCTCCCTGTGGTGAGGGATCCCTTTGATCAGGGCACCTTGAGCCTGGATCCCACCCTGCAGGACACGGTTTTAACCCTCTCCCCAGTGGGGAATGCATTCCCACAGGGAGCAGCCAGGACTGGCGGAACCGAGTGGCCCCCCAGTCCTGATGCAGGGATGGGATAACCTCGGGACGGGATAACCCCGGGATGGGGGAGCCATGGCAGGGGTGACCTCAGAATGTGGTGGCCCAGGCAAGGGGTCACTCTGTGTGCTGCCACAAAGGTGGGCACAAAGACCCTCAGCTGCACATCCCATTCCCGCTGTGTCCCTGCGGGATGTGACACGTCCTTGTCCCTGCAGTGAGGGGTGACAGGGAGCCCCCAGATCCCGTGTTCCTGCCGGTGGAGCTGGAGGTCCTTGGGGTGCCCGAGTCCTACCGGCTGCAGAGGGTGGATCAGGACGTGGCCCCCAACTCTTCCTTGCACACCCGCTCCGAGACGTTCCTGCTGCTCCGTGCCGGATCCCAGCCCCTGTTCCAGGCCACCTACCCCCCGTTCAGCATTCGCCAGGTAACCAGGACTCCTGTGTCCCCTGGGCCACCCCAGGGTGTCCCGGCCCCCACCACCACCCTGGTGTCCTTACAGGAGGTGCCCACGGAGAGCGCTCCCAGCTCAGCTTGGGCCGTCCGTGCTGTGTCCCTGGAGAGCTCTGTGTCCCCTGCTGAGCCCGTGGCCCGTGTTCTCTTCCACCTGTATGGGCCCGACTGGATGCCTGGGAAGCAGGATCATGCCGGGGCCCGGAATCATCCCAAGGACTGGGACCATCCTGGGCTCTGGGATCACCCTGATGTCCGGGACCACCCTGGGGGTCAGGGTCACCCCAGGAACTGGGATCATCCCAGGGAGCAGGACCACCCTGGGGTCCGGGATCACCCCAGGAACTGGGATCACCCTGGAGATCATGACCGCCCCAGGGACCAGGACCACCCCGAGCAGCAGGATCACCATGGAGTCCGGGATCACCCCAAGGACCGGCACCACCCTGGGATCCACGATCACCCCAAGTACTGGGACCACCTCAAGGACCAGGACCACCATGAGCAGCAGGACCACCCTGGGAACTGGGATTCTTCAAGGGATTGGCATCACTCCAGAGCTCAGGATCTCCCCTGTGCCACCCTCCACGCTCATCACCGCGGGCGGGTGGCCCGGGGGACATG